CTATCATTTTAATGGTAGGTTAATTTGAACAGTGAGAGACAGAATAACAACAAAATAATCCAGAAAAACGCATGTCAAAAATGTTATAAATTGATTTGCATTTTAATGAGGGAAATAAGTATTTGACCCCTCTGCAAAACATGACTTAGTACTTGGTGGCAAAACCCTTGTTTGCAATCACAGAGGTCAGACGTTTCTTGTAGTTGGCCACCAGGTTTGCACACATCTCAGGAGGGATTTTGTTCCACTCCTCTTTGCAGATCTTCTCCAAGTCATTAAGGTTTCGAGGCTGACGTTTGGCAACTCCAACCTTCAGCTCCCTCCACAGATTTTCTATGGGATTAAGGTCTGGAGACTGGCTAGGCCACTCCAGGACCTTAATGTGCTTCTTCTTGAGCCACTCCTTTGTTGCCTTGACCGTGTGTTTTGGGTCATTGTCATGCTGGAATACCCATCCATGACCCATTTTCAATGCCCTGGCTGAGGGAAGGAGGTTCTCACCCAAGATTTGACGATACATTGCCCAGTCCATCGTCCCTTTGATGCAGTGAAGTTGTCCTGTCCCCTTAGCAGAAAAACACCCCCAAAGCATAATGTTTCCACCTCCATGTTTGACGGTGGGGATGGTGTTCTTGGGGTCATAGGCAGCATTCCTCCTCCTCCAAACATTGCAAGTTGAGTTGATGCCAAAGAGATCGATTTTGGTCTCATCTGACCACAACACTTTCACCCAGTTCTCCTCTGAATCATTCAGATGTTCATTGGCAAACTTCAGATGGGCCTGTATATGTGCTTTCTTGAGCAGGGGGACCTTGCGGGCGCTGCAGGATTTCAGTCCTTCACGGCGTAGTGTGTTACCAATTGTTTTCTTGGTCACTATGGTCCCAGCTGCCTTGAGATCATTGACAAGATCCTCCCGTGTAGTTCTGGGCTGATTCCTCACCGTTCTCATGATCATTGCAACTCCACGAGGTGAGATCTTGCATGGAGCCCCAGGCCGAGGGGGATTGACAGTTCTTTTGTGTTTCTTCCATTTGCGAATAATCTCACCAACTGTTGTCACCTTCTCACCAAGCTGCTTGGCGATGGTCTTGTAGCCCATTCCAGCCTTGTGTAGGTCTACAATCTTGTCCCTGACATCCTTGGAGAGCTCTTTGGTCTTGGCCATGGTGGAGAGTTTGGAATCTGATTGTTTGATTGCTTCTGTGGACAGGTGTCTTTTATACAGGTAACAAACTGAGATTAGGAGCACTCCCTTTAAGAGTGTGCTCCTAATCTCACCTCGTTACCTGTATAAAAGACACCTGGGAGCCAGAAATCTTTCTGATTGAGAGGGGGTCAAACACTTATTTCCCTCATTAAAATGCAAATCAATTTATAACATTTTTGACTGCGTTTTTCTGGATTTTTTTGTTGTTATTCTGTCTCTCACTGTTCAAATAAACCTACCATTAAAATTATAGACTGATCATTTCTTTGTCAGTGGGCAAACGTACAAAATCAGCAGGGGATCAAATACTTTTTTCCCTCACTGTATGTGACCAAAATGTAGGAAATGTTACCTCCATTTTATAGCTCTTTAGTCTGGAGTCACCATGCATGCCTGCACAACAAAGACTGGGAGGCACCCACTCTCAGACTACTGCACTCTGCCGACAACATAACATGACCACAGACAGCTCTCAGATCAGATGAGCAACAGCTACCACATTGTGGCTCCTCCACATGTGTCTGACCCCTTCAACCCCCCTGTTTGGGCCAGCTGTGCTCTGGCTGTCTTGTCAGCCACCCCAAAGGGGAACACACATACACACAGAGGGGCAGAGCCCTGCTGTTCCAGCCAGGCCCCAGTACCCCTCTAATTGCACACAGCCAATCCACAACCCTCACCTCCATATTCTCCACCCACACACACCCTCCAGACACCCCATTCTGACCCCCCCCCCCCCCCCCCCCCCCACCCACCCACCCACCCACCCACACACTCAGTCAGCACCCCTCAGCTCATATCCCTCACCAAACACACTCTAACCCAACATCACCCAATGCCCATCCCAATATAAACTGTTTTGAAGTCTGAAGCCCATATCCCTCCCTGGCTGATGTGTATTGCTGCAGAGGGCAGGATGGTATATAGTTCATATAGCTGAGAGAGCATAGTACACACTGTGTGCTGCAATGCAGAGGCTGCAGTCAGGGCTAGCTGCTTCTCTGCAAGCCGACAATCCTAACATTCATTTTGAATATATAGGGAGAAGGGGGCATGTTTATGTGTGTTTGTGTTTTTATGTTAATGGCCGTATTTGTGGTTGCCAAGACAAATAATGCAGTCCTGAATGCATCTGTGACTCATAAATGCCCTCAGGTTTGTGTATGCATTAGATGTGGTAGTGATTTTGAATGGTTGAGTAGTGCGGTTAGTTGTAACAAACAGTGAATCATTTGTTCCTATTACTTGTTGACAAGGATTGATGTAGAAATAGAGATGGTATGGAATTTGGAGTTTTCCTCTGCTTACCATTCCTCTCACTGCTGCATCTCTCTCTCTCGCTCTCTCTCTCTCTCTCTCTCTCTCTCTCTCTCTCTCTCTCTCTCTCTCTCTCTCTCTCTCTCTCTCTCTCTCTCTCTCTCTCTCTCTCTCTCTCTCTCATTCCCCAATCCCCTCCCCCTATGTAACCACACCTACTCCTGTCCCTGTTTGTATCTCTTATCTCTTTCTTTCAATCTCATCACACCTGCTCTCCCCATCTCTGTCTCCTTCTCTCCCTTTCTTTCCTTCTCTCTCTTCCTCCTCCTCCTCCTCCTCATCTGATGAGAGGTGAAGTTTTACAAAAACATACCATAATAACCCAAGGCAAGACAGTGTGTCAACTTACACAGACCAGAGACACATCAGTGTGCACAGATATTTGCATGCACCTTAACACACACACACAAGCACACACACACACGTTCCGAGATACACATCAAACTGTGAGAAGACAGACACACTGGGAACATCCACTAAATTAAATACTGCCGGGCTTTCCTAAAAAGTACTGATTGAAAGCATGGTGTCAACCTCAAAGGGATAATTAGAGCTTTAGAGGAGGAAGTGCGTGTGTACATACACTGTATGAGTGTGAGTGGGTGACTGATTGTGTCATTATTTTCATATTGAAAGTGCATTGTCTCTTTCCATTTCCCTTTTGATCTATGGGATTATGGGAGTCACTTCCTTGATATGTATTCCGTTTTTAACACTTAACCCTCCCGTTGTCCTGGTATTCTGTACACACGCCGTGCCCTCCGGGTCGAACTGTCCCCCTCTCACTAAAGGCCCAATTGGAACATGTGGGACAGTATGCGTGCGAACAGCCTTTGCAGATGTATTTGTTACACCTGGTGCACACCGTGTGTGTTTTACAGTCCTTCTTTGTGGGACAGACCTGACACCTCTTCCTCTTACTGGGTTGTGCGGGGTCGGGTGCTTGGGCCGGTGCGTGGTCGGGTGCTGCGGGGGCGTGATCCCGGGGCTGATCACGATACGTAGCCCTCTGAACAGCTTTGACGAGCGCCGCAGAGGCTTCGGTGCGAGGGAGACGGGCCCTTCTTTGTATGAACGGAGTCACTAGTGCCTTTCCCAGCTGCTCGAGGAACACCCTCCTCTTGTTTCGCTTACCAGGCATCCAAGTAGGGTTGAGCTCTCGCCATATGACAAAAGCGTTGTAAGAGGACACGTCAAGGATGTTGTGGAAGATGACCAGGGGCCAGCGCGCGGTCATCCTCCTGCAGCTGTAGGTTCCAATCACCTTGTCTAGGTTGTCCACACCTCCCTTGTTGCTGTTGTAGTCTAGGACGATGGCCGGCTTCTTGTCCTGGCGACGGCTAACGTGAGCCTCGGTGTGCAGCGTGCTCAGGAGTAAGACGTTCTTGTTTTTCTTTGGCAGGTAGGACACTAGAGCGGTGGTGGGCGTGAAGGCGAACTTGGAGGAGAAGAGGAGCCTGTCCTTTGAGGCGAGCAGCGCCTGCGGGAGCTCTGTCTTGTTCTTTCTGACTGTGCCGACCACGGTGACGTTCCTCCTCAGGAGCTGGCGCGCAAGCTCGTATGAGGTGAAGAAATTGTCGCAGGTGACGTTGTGACCCCTGAGTCCCTGCGTCAAATCGAGCACGACCCTCATCCCCTGGTTCTTCTCGGGGCCTTCGCATGTGGCCTTCCCGGTGTAGACCTGCATCTTCCAGGCATAGCTGGATTTGGAGTCGCAGGCCACCCAGGTCTTGATGCCGTATTTGGCCGGCTTGCTTGGGATATACTGGCGGAAAGAGACATTGGCCTGGAAGGACAGAGAGAGAAGAGATAGAGAGAGAGAGAGATGAGATCTCTCTCTCTCAGAACTTCTCTCTCCTGAGAAGAAGAGACGAGAGAACGAGAGGAGAAGAAGTCTCTCTATCTCTCTCTTCAGATCACTCAGAGAGGGAGAGAGAAAGTATGGTGCTCCTCTCTCTCTCCTTCTCTCTATCCTAGAGAGAGAGAGAGAGAGGGGTGAGATCGTTTTTTTTGTTGGTTTTCTTTCACATTAGATTAACACATTATATTATTCTATGTACCCATACTTTACTCCTCCAGTGGCAAACTCAACTGACCTGCTTTGGGAAATAATCAACACACTCAAAATGATGTTGATTAAGTCTAAGAACAATAAAGGCTACCCTCCACTTACATAATCACAGTGGGCTTGAGGGAAGTGATGTACTGTAGGTGCTGTAGTAGTGTTGTACTGTAATAACTGTGTCCTGAACTGACCGGCTTCCCCATACTAACCAGGGACAGATGTTTCATTCAGTTTCTACTATAAAGTAAATGTTATGGCTGTATGCTTTTCAGTCAGATTGGCTCCATCAAGTTCTAGTGAACCGAAAGTACTGAAGAAGCTAAAGGACTGAAGAGTGAGTCAGAGTGGGTCTATGTGTTGGTTTCATTTGACTTACTCTATATCTGAAGAGAAGAGAAGAGATTAGCTTTAGCGTGTTGTGTTGTGTTGTGTACAGTGTTGTTGTGCTCTTGTACAGTGTTGTTGGCCCGGCACACCTCTGAAAGGGACCAGTTGCTCGTCCACCGTCACGTCGGGCCCGGGGTTGTAGAGGAGCGGCAGCCTCTCGACCCACTTGTCCCAGACCTCTCTCACGGCCGCAAGTTTGTCACCGCCGCCTGCTGCGCGTCTCTCGGCTCTGGTCTGGCGGTCGTCGAAGCGAAGGAGTCTCGAGTAAGCGTGAAAGACTTTGAGCGGCATGGTTGCGCGGAAAATGGTCCTTCCGCTCTCGGCGTCCCAGAGACTAGAGGCTGCTTCGCCTCGGGACCTGTACACGCCGGCTAGGATGAGCAGCCCTACGTAGGCTCGCAGGTCTGTGGAGTCCATCGCTTTCCAGCGGCCGCCGCGGTCGCGGTCGTGGTCTTCGTGGTCGTCGGCGTAGTGGCGGTGGTCGTCGTCGCCGCCGCAGCCGTTGCCGTCACCTCGGGCTCCGTATTTTCGAACGCCCTCCAGATTGGTCATCTCCAGAATGATGTCTTCTATCTCGGGTGTGAAAAACAAGCGGAACGTGGAGAGGATGTCGCGGGCTTGGCCTACGGCCTGCCTAGTAGGCCCGGGCCTCATGTCCTCCGGCACCTCAGCAACCGGCCTGTTACTTTTTGCCGCTGCGGCGGCCCCTCCGACGCCCCGATTGTTGTCACAGGGCACCGAGCACCATTGGATTTGGCCGTTTCTCGACACGAATGTCTCTCTTTCCACTCTAGGGATATCGTGTTGTGTTCTGGGACTGATGCGGCGGCAGCAGCGGCGGCGGTCTCCTCGCTCTCCTTCACCTTCACCTTCCCCTTGTTCTTCTCAATGTTCTTCTTCTTCTTCTTCTTCTTCTTCTTCTTCTTCTTCTTGTTGGTCGTCGTCGTCGTCGTTGTGGTCGTCTTCGTCGTCGTTGTCGTCGTCGTCATCGTCTCGTTCGTCTTCTACGCCTTGACCTTCTTCTACTTGGACATCGTCCTCGTCGTCGTCGTCGGCGGCGGCGGCTGCGGCGTCGTCGTCGTCGTCCTCTGTGGTCTCCTCGTCCTCTGGGTTGTATTCTTCCCCGTCTTCTTCTTCGGACGCTTCCTCGTCCGCTTCCTCGTCGCAGTCAGAGTCATTGGAAAATATATGTTCTAGGACCTGTTTGGCCGTGAAACGCACAGCACTCATAATAGCTTCGGCACCCAGGCTGGGGAAGTCCCCAAGACCTCTCTCTTCGGGACGTGTCCGGACATGCCACGGAGGCAATATTAGTAGTAGTAGTAGTAGTAGTAGTAGTAGTAGTAGTAGTTGTTGTAGTTGTTGTTGTAGTAGTAGTAGTAGTAGTAGTAGTAGTAGTAGTAGTTGTTGTAGTTGTTGTAGTTGGTGTAGTAGTTGTAGTTGTAGTAGTAGTAGTAGTAGTAGTAGTAGTAGTAGTAGTAGTAGTAGTAGTAGTAGTAGTAGTAGTAGTAGTAGTAATAGTAGTTGTTGTAGTAGTTGTAGTTGTAGTTGTAGTTGTAGTTGTAGTTGTTCTTGGTGTTGGTGTTTGTTTACGGCTTACCTATTACCTCTGGCTCAGAGCTTATGCCTCTAACGTGTAGCCTGGGTCGTTTTGACCCCAGGCAGGACAAGACAGGACAACGCTAGGGGTTATACAGCCACTAGCTCTAACACTCTAACACGTAGCCTGGGTCTTTTTGACCCGGACAGGACAGCGGGAGGAGATATACAGCCACTAGCTCTAACACTCTAACACGTAGCCTGGGTCTTTTTGACCCCAGCCAGGACAGGACAGGACAACGCTAGGGGTTATACAGCAACTCGCTCTAACACTCTGACACGTAGCCTGGGTCTTTTTGACCCCGGACAGGACAGCGGGAGGGGATATACAGCCACTCGCTCTAACACCTAGGCTCTAACACGTAGCCTGGGTCTTTTTGACCCGGACAGGACAGCGGGAGGGGATATACAGCCACTAGCTCTAACACCTAGGCTCTGACACGTAGCCTGGGTCCTTTTGACCCGGACAGGACAGGACAGGACAGCGGGAGGAGATATACAGCCACTAGCTCTAACACATAGGCACTGACACGTAGCCTGGGTCTTTTTGACCCGGTCAGGACAGCGGGAGGGGATATACAGCCACTAGCTCTAACACATATGCTCTAACACGTAGCCTGGTTTTTTTTGACCCGGACAGGACAGCGGGAGGAGATATACAGCAACTACCTCTAACACCTAGGCTCTAACACGTAGCCTGGGTCTTTTTGACCCGGTCAGGACAGGACAGGACAACGGGAGGGGTTATACAGCCACTCGCTCTAACACGTAGGCTCTAACAGGTAGCCTGGGTCTTTTTGACCCGGACAGGACAGCGGGAGGGGATATACAGCCACTCGCTCTAACACCTAGGCACTGACACGTAGCCTGGGTCCTTTTGACCCGGACAGGACAGGACAGGACAACGGGAGGGGTTATACAGCCACTCGCTCTAACACGTAGGCTCTAACACGTAGCCTGGGTCGTTTTGACCCCAGCCAGGACAGGACTGGACTGGACAACGCTAGGGGTTATACAGCCACTCACTCTAACACGTAGCCTGGGTCTTTTTGACCCGGACAGGACAACGGGAGGGTTAATTTCTCCCAAACCCACAGAGACACTTTCTGGACTAGATTTATCGCACTCAAGGAATGGCGTGGAACGCAAACTCATGATTGCCGACATGTCAGAATAGCGACGATGTGTGTCGAAGGAATAGAACATGGGCAGCACAGAATAGGTTTTGAATCGAATAACTTGATGTCTACGTAGACACCACGATTGCTTGTATGTAGCCGAAACCATGATCTATGTTTACAAAAAATAACAACTACTATTAAAAATGTCATGTTTTAAAACTAATCACAAAGGTATAATTTGAGAAAAATTAACAAATAAATAAATGAATATAATATAATTAATTCTTTTTATGGGAGTGGTCAAATCCACAATATACCAGAGAAGCTTCTGAGCACTGCATCAAAACAGGTTCGTGTCTCACAGACAAACAACATCAATCGAAGCTATGTCGACTTTCCAGAACACAGAAAACGTGAAGGGGGATTCTTGCTGCATCACTGCAGTGTTTGACATACACACGGACTCCAGTCACGTAACTACCGACAACACCACCGTCGTCACTGTGATCGGTCTGGGCATCGGAGGGTCGACTCGACTGAATCTGAGCACCATCAACTTCAACGACATCTATTCTGCGTTCAATCGAGTAGTGAAGAACATACCCATACTTCTCGGGTACACGGTGAAAAGCCTCTCGGTCATGCCCAACAACAAACTGGAGGTAAGACTATTTGTCGAACCGAAATATAGTCTGTTGAGTTATGAGCTGTGGCTCGTTCGGGTCGTAGGACAGGCTCTGCTCTTGTGGTTTTACCACGGTGCAGTGTCACACATCATGGTGACACACCAGGACCATTTGCAGAAGATACACCGTGAAGCTGTGGGATGGTGTCCCTGTGCAATGTTGACCGGTTTCGACGACAGCGAGTCTTGTACTTGTGCTTTGTACTACGACATGTGGGACATGGACGTTCGTCACAGCCACGTCTGAGACCATTTGTTGACATATCGGACATATCGGCAAATGCCATGCGATATCTCTTCCGTGTGTAGCGGTGTCCACATGACAGATCTCTCAGATGAGGAACAGACACTTCTGATGAAGAAAGTCGCCTGGATATTTCAAGGCTTTTCTGTTGCCCCCAAAGAAGACGCCATGACGGGGATCCGTTCGAGCCTACGCATACCTTGTGATTTCACGAAAACCAAAAATATTGTACCGCAAGTATACAAGTTGACAGACTGTCAGAATGAAACACGTGCGGAGATGTACAATTGTCAGCAAGCTGAAGAGCAGATGACATATATTCACTTGTTGAGGAAATGGACATCTTGGGTTTCGAGCATTGTCGAGTAGTGACACCTACAATATTACAAGGAAATCACCAGATTCTTTAGAAAGTAAGCATTTCACTGTAATGTCTGTACCTACATTGTGACCAATAAAATTTGATTTGATTTGATTTGCAAGGGTCCCGTTCGCAGCACAGGACGTCGTCGCCACTCGCTCTAACACTCTAACACGTAGCCTGGGTCTTTTTGACCCCAGCCAGGACAGGACAGCGGGAGGAGATATACAGCCACTCGCTCTAACACCTAGGCTCTAACACGTAGCCTGGGTCTTTTTGACCCGGTCAGGACAGCGGGAGGAGATATACAGCCACTAGCTCTAACACATAGGCACTGACACGTAGCCTGGGTCTTTTTGACCCGGACAGGACAGCGGGAGGAGATATACAGCCACTCGCTCTAACACATAGGCACTGACACGTAGCCTGGGTCTTTTTGACCCCGGACAAGAAAGGACAGGACAGCGGGAGGAGATATACAGCCACTCGCTCTAACACGTAGGCTCTAACACGTAGCCTGGGTCGTTTTGACCCCAGCCAGGACAGGACTGGACTGGACAACGCTAGGGGTTATACAGCCACTCACTCTAACACGTAGCCTGGGTCTTTTTGACCCGGACAGGACAACGGGAGGGTTAAAGGAAAATGCCACCCAACAATTAGTCCATTGTTGATATAGTCCTAAAAATATTTTGCATGTCAGCAATCAAGTTTTCAAGATATGTAACTTTCAAATTATATGAATCTGCTAAATGCATCATAGGGGCCAGATTTCTGTATTTTGAAAGTTACCTATCTTGAAAACTTGATTACTGACATGCAAAACATTTCTGGGACTATATCAAATCAAATCAAATCAATTTGTATTTGTCACATGTGCCGAATACAACAGTGAAATGCTTACTTACAAGCGCTTAACCAACAAATGAGTTTTAAGAAAAAATAAGTGTTAAGAAAAATAAGTAAACAAGAAATTTAAAAAAACAAAAAAGGATGAAAATAGAAAAATAACAAATAATTAAAGAACAACAATAAAAGAACAGTAGCGAGGCTATATACAGGGGGTACCGGTACAGAGTCAATGTGCGGGGGCACTGGTTAGTCGAGGTAATTGAGGTAATATGTACATGTAGGTAGAGGTAAAGTGGCTATGCATAGATAATAAACAGAGAGTAGCAGCAGGGTCAATGCAAATAGTCTGAGTAGCCATTTGGTTAACTGTTCAGGAGTCTTATGGCTTGGTGGTAGAAGCTGTTAATAAGCCTTTTGGACCTAGACTTGGCGCGCCGGTACCGCTTGCCATGCGGTAGTGGAGAGAACAGTCTATGATATCAACAATGGACTAATGAAACAAACACCAAAAATAGTTTTTGGTTGGAGTTTTCCTTTAAATGTGTGGTGAATTATTATTAATGAACTGTAGAGTTTAATGGATTATGAGGTAGAACTGGGTTAATCAAGAGCATAAAGTTAGAATTCTTTGTTACTGGGCCAGGAATTGTATTGGGTCATTTAATTTCACTGTGTGGGTGAGTAGAGAGGGAATCTGCCCTAGGGTCAGATTGCTTGCTCTTACTTAGATCCATGGTTGTCTTATCATATCAAAGACTGAAACTGGCTTGGGCCATTTGTTTTTGTCTTCAA